AAACTAAAGAAGATGGAAGAGACTTAATTAGAAAGTAACTGTAGCAGATGGGTAAAACTGAAGTCACTTTTACTTTTTACTTCCCTTTCCCCCTCTTATTTTCTCTGTCTCTGCACCTTTTTCTCTTTTTTCTCTTTTCTTTACACAGGTACCCAAAATGCTTGGGATCATAAGTATATTGGATTTCATTTTTTCCTAATTTGCATATACATAAATAATGGAATATCTTGGACTTAAGTCTAAACACAAACTTTATTTATTTACATAGTCTATGAGAATATTTTGAGAATTTGTATACATTAATGCATTAAGGAGTAAACATTTCACTTTCTCATCCAACCATGTGGACGAATTTGGAGTATTTCAATTTTCAGAATTCTGAACAAGGGAGGCTAAACCTCTCTATATAATACAGTGGAACCTCTACTTCAGAGTCTCCCAACCTAAGAGCATTTTGAGTTAAGACTTGTTGCCAGAACTGGGTTTCACTTTGACATAGGAGCAGCATTTTGATTTAAGAGCTGACACCAGAGGGACCGCTAGCACAAGAGCAGTCATGTAGCCGGGGGGGGGGGGGGGGGGCTTGAGGGGCTTCGCCCCCCCCCAAATATTATCAGGGTGGTCCGCAAGAAGGCCTTAGTAGTATATTATTTAAACTGCTATGTTTATTAATCTCATGATCTGATCACCGTGCTCAATATAGCAACTTATGCATGGGGGTATTGGGATAACGATACAAAAGGTTTGCTAGGGTAAATCCTCAGCCCCCCCCCCCCAACCCCGAATCAAAATCCTGGCTACGGGCCTGCACGAGAGTACAAGGCTTTAGGGCTTCAAGGAAGCAGCCTCCATGCCTTGTGCTCTTGTCCGCTTTGGGAGACTGCCATCTGCTTTGCTCTTGTCCACTTTGAGGAACTTTGGGCTAGTTGATTTTGTATGGTTTTTATTCCTGGTATGTTTGTCTTTATGAAGAGAAAGAGGGAGAGAGAACAAGAGAGGGAGGGAGGCTGAAATGAGTAGACTATAAAGAAAATGATGTATTTGCCTCTGCACTTTGTGTTTCCTTGCCACAACTTTGTTCTTTAAGCATTTTAAAGTTTGTTTAAATAGATTTTTACTAAACACACAAAAAAGTTTCATTTACATAAAAAGTGGTGGAACAATATGGTTAAATAAAAGTAGGAAATAAAGATATTAAAGTCTTTAAAAGGGGGGAGGAGAAGAGAAGAGATAAAAAGGGGGGAATCTATATTGACTTCCATTCTAAACCTTCGCGGTTAAGGTTTTCATTCTTAATAGTCTTTTCCCTTCAATTTGCCTTTTTCCTCAATACTCCCACTTAACTGTTTCTATCTTTTCTCGTATTCTTCAAAAAAACTTCCAATTTGTTAGTTTTATTAAATTTTCCCAATTCTTCTTTAAAAAGTAAGTTAATTTGTCCGTATCTCTATTTTTTCATAGTTTCTCTCTGTTTAGTTATCCAGCTGTCAATGTCTGGTATCTCTTCAAGTTTCCAAAGATTTACTATTTTAAAGATGATTCTTCTTTTTTATTGTTCCACATAAATGTGCAGGTTTTGCCTTGTTGTTACACTGGCCAACACACATTTTATTGCCTCAAATATGCTTCCTTGACACAACTTTGTGCTTCTACCATTTAAAAATTTATCTCTTTTTGTTCGATGTGAATGTGCATTTATACATCATTTGTTATTTATAAAGTACCTTTCCTTATTTAAAAACACATAACAGAAATTGTGAGAGGTTTTTTTTTTGGGGGGGGGATGACAGATTAATAGCATTTAAATGGGAAATTTGCTTTGAGATAAGATATTTGAGTTAAGAGCTCAGTCACAGAACAAATTAAACTCAAGGTATCACTGTAAAGTCAAGGTATCACTGTAGTTGTTATGTAATAGTTATTTGCACATTGCCCCAGTTTCCCTTTACTTCTTACACTTGCCCACTGAGGTGTGCCTACAATTCTAGGATTTATGCCATTTGGAACCACTTTAACCTCAATGGGTTTTAGAATCTCTGGTGGCAGCAGCATGGCAAACATTAACCAGTTGTCTACTGGCACAGAGTGAGCCAGTATGGTGTCGCGCTTGGAGCATAGGACTAGGAGGTTCAAATCCTCACTCGACCATGGGCAAGTCAAACCCTCTCAGTCTTAAAGGAAGGCAAAGGCAAACCTAATTTGAAAATGTCTGCCAGAAAAAACCTGTGATAAGGTCACCATAAGTCATTTTTTTCTTCAGTGCACATCACAACTGTTACTGAAAGGGTTGGGTTTATTCTGAGGTTTTGCAAGATGCTTTGGCTTTAGCTTGGTAATGCAAAGCTGAGAATAGTACTCCACCTCATACCTTGGCCTTCTCAAGCTGCTGCTGAGCCTGATTCTCCACTTCCCGCTTCCCGCCCTCGCGATCCTCCTCTAGCGACACGTCGGAGTCCAACGATGGGCGGCTGGTGTAGGAATCAGCTGAGCCCTGAGGAGAAGGTCAAAACCCCAATGAGGTAATGGATCCCTCTTGACAGGAGATCAAAAGACATCCTGGACACAGGAGGCCTATTTACAATCCAAGCATCCCGAGATAGGCTTTTCCCCCCATCAGAACAGCTAAAGGGAGAAAGAAAGGCACTTCAGCCATAGAGACAGCTGTCATCTTCGATGTTTAAAAACCTGCCCATTTGGGCTCCTCCATACGCTTTCAGACTGAGGGCCTTGCGAGTGTCTCCTTCGTGACAACTTACAAATGAATGCAATGACACAGCCTAAGGAAACGTAACCCTATGCTATCTGATTTTTGAAATCACATATGCACTCCTTCTTGCTCCATGCTGCTTTTAGGGCCAAACAGTCTACTGAGTCACTGGGGGCTGTGGCTGAGCACATTGTACCTACTTTAGAATGCCAACTGCAGAAATACTAAATTGGAATTCAAGCAGCCTGTTCCTAACCTAATGTTTACTCAGAAGTATATAATCTGTGGTCTTAGGTTGCAGCCTTAAAACTCAAGTTAATACTCTCCAGCATTTCCCAGGTGAAAAGAGCTTAGTGTATTCAGAACAAGCCTCACACATTAGATCACCCACATATGGTCTATATACTTTACACCATCATCACCATCATCATCATCATCATCATCATCATCATCATCATCATCATCTAGAATCCTCCATAGTAGATGCAAGTGTGTTACATATTTGAAGCCACTATGTATTAACAACTCCTACATTTAGAGGGTTATATACATTTAGAGGGTTATACATGAATCCCTACTTTCCAGGCAGCAGCTATTGTGATCTACAGGGTTCCATTTTTCTATTTGCTGGGAAGCAGCTGACTTTCCCCTCGATCCCCTTGCACAAGACTTGGGCATGAGAGGGGATTGCAAAAAAGGTCCCATTCCTGTCTCTCACAACAAAAATCACTAATGAAAGGTGTTGAAAGAGCGGGCAGCTGTTTATCAAGCGGGGGGGGGGGGATAGACCCCCCACCCATCAATTGCAGTGGCTGTTTCCCGGAAAGTGGAGATTTATGGGATAGGGATGGGATTCACTGCCTAGCATCATCACTTATGCATATATAAATGGCGTGCAGAATTCCAGTCATTATAATCATCACCACCCGCCACTACAATCATTATTATCACTGTTCCTCCAGCTTTATATTCTGCTTATGCTTTAAAAAAAATCACTGTACAATAACATGGTCTGTGTTTGGCCTAAAGAAATGTCAATAAAACAACCACAGTGTTCTCCTAAAACAGCAAAACAATACTGGGCAGAATATTATATCTTTCACAAGGGGCATGGTTGTATTTATAGAATAACTACATAGAAACAACATCCACTGAGGTGGAAAGGAAGCTAATGCACCATGTGGGAACACTAGCATGTTTTTGTTTTTAAAAAGACATCTCCAAACCTCCCCAAAGGCACAAACACAAAAAAGGGACAGGTGAAGAGGGACAACTGGAGCGTATGAATATAAGTTCTACTGTCAACTAGCACAGCGAAGCACCACAGCTGTTACAGTATAGTATTGTCTTCTTCAATGATAACCCTTCTAGATGTGTTGGTTGACAGCTCCCATAATCCTCAGTCAGAATGGAGTGATGGGAGGCTGGGATGATGGGGGTTGTAATCTAGTACATGTGGAAGACGCCACGTTGGGAAAGCCTGGTATAGCAGCTGTACAATTGTCCTTGTATTTGAAAAAAGAAGCTTTGTCCATGCAAGTCAGGAGACATTTCCCCTTCCACATTTTTTTGTCTGGATCTAGCTACAAGAGACTGAAAGATAAAGCTCTGAAACCTCTCTACAGCCAGCAGCTTTCTCTTGGTGGCATCAACGTCCCTCTCTCCCCACCCACTGCCTCTGTCTGAAATATGAAGATAATAATGATTTTGTCTACAGATCTGTTGTTGCAAGGATTGTAAGGATCATCTGTAGGAAGCACTTTGAACACTTGCAGAGTACTATATAAATGCTAAATTATATGGTTGCTGCCAATCTGCCTAAAATCATAGCCCCGTGGCTGCTCCACAGTACTGGATACAAAATTTTGTGAGTATTCAAACTATGCAAGATAGCGGATCTGAGAATCATAGAAACATTAGAATTGGAAGAGACTACAAGAGCCATGCATCCAGTCCAACCCTCCCCCAGGTCTCTCATCTAAACCCGCTCACTGTGACCCCAGGCCTTTGGCAGAAACCCAAATCCTTCTTATTTGCAGCTGCCATTGATTTAAGTGCATGTGAATTACACCCGATTACATTGTTCTTCTATTTCCTTCTTATTTGTCCATTTTCATTTGTAAATCTCTTATAGGAAGAAACCTGTCTATATCTGCTTATGGAATTCTGAAACATGCATCCATAGCTGCTGCTGTATAAACCCACAAAGAGAATGCAAAACTCCCTTTCTTGATCATCACCTCTAAGCAAAATCAGGAAAGGAAGGAAAGAAGAAGAGTGAGTGGAGGCAGCTTGGAGGCAAATCTCTGAGGGTGCAGTTACACTGTAAAATTCATCGTTTCACACAACTTTAACTGGCAGGGTGAAATGGGTTAAACTCTTGTGCCGACAGGACTGAAGACTGACAGGTCAGCGGTTCAAATCCGGGGAGAGCAAGTTGAGCTCCCTCTGTCAGCTCATGCGGGGGCATGAGAGAAGCCTCCCACAAGGATGGTAAAACATCAAAACATCTGGACATCCCCGGGCAACCTCCTTGCAGACATCCAATTCTCTCACACCAGAAACAACTTGCAGTTTCTCAAGTCACTCCTGACATGAAATAAATCTGCCAGGGATCAATGCTATGGAATGATGGGAACTGTAGTATTACAAGGCCTTTCGCTTTCTCTGCCAAAGAGCATTGGTGCCTCAGCAACTACATATCTCAGGATTCCAAAGCCTTGAGCCATGGCAGTTAAAGTGGGATCAAACTGCATTAATTCTACAGTGTAGATGCACCCTTAGTGTATTTGATTTAAGACTCTTTCACACTGTAAAGGTTAGGAGCACTATGATTCCACTGTAACGGCCATAGAAGTCTGAGGCTTGTTGTTTGATTGGAGGCACTACAGTTCCTTGGTAGAAAAGTATCAACTGCAAATCCCAGGACATGACAGGATGGAACCATGGCTATTATAGTGCTGGAGAATTCCTACTGTCATGGCTAATCGTTGGGCAGATAAGGAATACCACATTAAGAAGCTGGCCTTAGTTATGAGGAAGAAATGTTATGAGCCCCCAACAATGTCATCACCAAATATGGGCATCCTAGTACAGGATATTAAGGGGAGATTTTCTTGTTGTTCTTGCCACCTTTTATCCAATCCTAACAATCCAATCATCAGCTTTAAAGAATTAAGATATATTGTGTACATTAGCTAGACAGTCTTCATAAAGCTAGGCTTTATATCTGGACTGCCTATTTTAGAACACACTCTGACCCAAAGAAAGTTCTATTTTAAAGGGGATTCAGAACACATATTCTTCCAGATCTCATTACACTCCAATTCCCATTAATTCCAGCCAGCATGGGAAATAGCCAGGGATGAGGAGTAAAGGCATGAAGATTGGAGGGGGTGGGGACCATATGATTTCCCATTGCCATAAAGATAGATGGGGCAACTCATCCCTGCCTTGATATGTCAAACACCTTTTCCAAATTCTCCCTTCCGGACAACAGCTTTAAAAAGGGACAGGAACCTCTATACAAATTCTTTCATGCTCGAGCCCCCAGTGTTGCAATGGGTTAAACCCTTGTGGCTGGCTGAATTGCTAACTGAAAGGTCGTCAATTCGAACCAAGGAGCGGGGTACACTCTAGCTTCCTAGGCCGGGACATGAGAAGCCTCCCACGGGCAATGTCCTTGCAGACGGCCAATTCTCCCGCACCAGAAGTGACTTGCAGTTTCTCAAGTCACTCCTGACACACATAAAAAACCTGAACAGGCCTGAATAAAAAGGGTAGATGTGAAGGAGGGAAATTCACTGGTGGGAGTCTGTCCTTCACCTTTTCACGAGTTCAGTTTCAGGGAACTTAATATGGCTACCTCATAAAGCAACACCTAGGGTTTTCCTTGGGCAAGGAATCCCCAGAGGCAGTTTTTCCTCTAAAATACAGTGTAGCATTACACTATGTAACAAAATTTAAAAAAATCTGTTCCTAGTTTGATAGTGTTATTTCATGTTTAATTGTGTGATACTTACTTTGAAAGTGGTTGTTATACTCAAGAAACTTCATTTTTGTGGCTACCATTTTAAAACTTTCATATGAAATTTTTAACCAAGCCGGAAAAATAAAGTTTTGCAATTTAATAAACCTTTCCTGGTATTGTTTCATTATCTGAGCGGAGGCCACAAGGAGGCGCTAGAAAGAGAAGGATAGTCCATTTTATTGGGGGAGGGGGAGTGTTTGAAGGAAGAAAACCATTTCCCTGTTTTCCACCCATGTCCCCACTGTGGAAACAACCTTCGTTTATGATATGGAGAAGGGGGGGGGGGGGGATAACCAAAAAAAAAAACAAGGGAAATTTTTATTTATTTTATTTACTTTGCTTAATATCCCACCCTCTCTCCCTCATTGAGGGACTCAGAGCAGCTAACAGTCAGCAAAAATTAGATGCCATTCAACATAAAAACACGAAACTCAAAATACATGACCCATAATATATAGAAGTTTCACTAAAACATTACACGTTAAACCAGCATTAATACCCAGTATATTAAAAATTGCCTTCATCTCATTGCCATAATCACAATCTATTGCTGTTATTAAACTCATTGCCATTAAACTCAGTTAACCACTGTCTTCCCCAAAAGCCTCTTTCCAAAGAAAAGTTTGTATTTGTTTTCTAAAGGACAACAGAGCCATTCTAATGTCTTCCAGGGGAGAGTTCCAAAGCCAAGGGGCCACCGCCGAGAAGGCCCTCTCTCTCTTTCCAACAACAACACCGGAGACGGGGGTGGGCC